CCTCCTGAAGCTTGAAATGGACTCGACTAAGTTCCAGTCAATGTTTCAAACTCAGGACAATACCACGTTTGGTAGGATAACTTCTCCCACTATTTTTTATAGAATATACATCGTACTTCCTTACATGAATGTTCAGTACATCATTCCACATCTTGGCCGTCACAAATATATCATTGCCTAAGTCTATATGACAAAGTGGATCCTGTAGCTCTGTCTTGTCTTTCTCTAGTCCCAGCAATGTCCTTGCCTGTATCTCTCCGCCTTCCTCCAAAGCTTTACAGAAGAGAGTGTAGGCTTCTGTTCCCCGCCGGGGAAGGGTATCTAATAAAGCTCTGACCCGGTCAAAGGAGGTTTATGGTTTCTCAATAATCTCGGCTTTCATGAGGCAAGTGAGAACTTCAAACTGTAACAGTTTGTCGACCACCTCTTGTACACGCTGTATAGCTTGCACTAGGCCGGAGTAATTCTTCCTCAGGATATCACGGTGAACGGCTTCCATCTTTGAGGTAAACGGCTACCAGAATCAGAAGAGTCAAGAGCATGCGTGCGTTGTCTCTGGCGACTGAATGATATGGGGACTGTTCGGGGGCCTTATATTGCCGACACACGAGTCTAAAAATACCTCTGGGAAAGTGCCACCGTCAGCTCGTTGTGAAATGAGGTAAACCTGAAGGTCACACACACACCGGTAGGGGACTCCAGAAGGTGGATGGGACACACAAAGGTCACACCTATGTTACGTCATAAAAACATAATGGCGGATATGAGACACACACACACACACACACACACACACACACACACACACACACACACACACACACACACACACACACACACACACACACACACACACTTACAACATACAAGTCAATTTGTCACTTGAAATACATTTAGAAAACTGGACAAACATATCCAGCTTAACACAAAGTCAACCAATGACCGGTTTTAAAGTTCTGCTTCGGAAAAGAGCACTAACACCAATTTCAGTCGAAGTCAAACTTGTTGCCATGGAAACGACGATTCAGTGACAAAATATAGACAAAAGACTTATGACAATAGGGATGACTTCGACATTCCGGTTAACGAGTTATCAAGCAATATTTCACTAGCTCTAGTATTTCGTGTTAAGATTTCACAACTTTTGAAGTACAAACGAGCATGTACGTTTTCGAAGACTTCAAACGAGCCTTAGATGACTCTTATGTAAAAACTGTTTGATAAGGCCTTCTGCCTTCAAGGCCTCAGTACACTTTCTACAATGCTTAATGGTGGACCATAGGAGTGACATGATAGGTTGGGGCAACTTCCGAACTCTTACCATATGCTCCCGTGTTGTTGTTGTATTATTACATAGAATTAATGATTGTGTTTTTTGCACATCTTTACATGTGTTTTGCACGCCTGTCTGACTCGTGATTCATAAACGCACGCATATGATCGGAATAGTATCATATCATGAACACGATGAACACGATGTGCAGCAAACTGGGGCTCCTTTCACGAAGCAACCTTTATTAAGATTAACCTTAACTCCCATTCTTTAACATTGCACTAAGTGTTACCTTAGTGACTTACGATCACCTTAGTGCCTTGTGAAAGGAGGCCCTGGTGCATAATAAACCTATTTACTTCGGCGACATGCAAGGACTCCCGCTGTGTTACACAGATAATAGTAAAACATTTTATATGAATGGATTACTGACAACCAGAGATGAACAGTAAACAGACAATGGTAACACAAGATCCACCAAAACCCCTGCCTGGTCAAGAAGAATTTTTTAAAAAAGGATGTCATGGAAAACGCCTGTAGTTCCGTGTCCACGTCCTGGGGGCGATATTCCGTGAAGCAGACATAATATCCCTATATTTACACACTTAATTCCTCTTAGAAAGCTGATGGTGTCATTGTATCAAATACCCTTCCCACTCAATTTAGAGTTACCTCCCTTCAAATAAGCACACGAAATGCAGAGCTATTGTCCCGATGACTATTTGGAGATGTGATCACGCATTAAATCTGTCTGCGACCTACTGCTCATCGGCAGTGCAGGGGTGGTGGGATAGCCTAGTGGTTTAAGCGCTCGATCGTCACGCCGAAGACCCGGGTTCGATTCCCCACATGGGTACAACGTGTGAAGCCCATTTCTGGTGTCCCCCGCCGTGATGTTGCTGGAATATTGCTAAAAGCGGCGACAAACTAAACTTACTCACTCACTCATCAGCAGTACAGCACAACAACACAATTTCTTCATTGTAAATAGATTTATTGTGTATGAATAAAACGGTGGAGTTAATGAATCTGTGTATTACAAGTTTATAAAACAAACCCTTGTGATAATATAATGGAATGTGTCTAGATTAGAAAGTTGCGATACTGAGTTAATTAAGTCAAGTCCAGGAACTGACATTGTTTCATAATCAGTTTATTGAAAGTGCATGTGTGCCTTTGTAGATTGATGTGTGCCTTACACAAAGACTTATACTGACGGACAAAAGAAAGTATACACCCATGTTTGATGGTGGCTATAAAACTTAAATTTAAGCATTGTAAATGTTTGAGTTTGGAGGTCAAATCCAATTTTCGTACTGAATACTGCGTACTTTCTTTTGCCTGATTTTTTATTTTTGTTGTTTTGTTTCAGTTTATTTCTATTTTCAAAACCTAATACTGAAGTACAAAACAAACAAACAAAACTAATAATGGCACATTCATCGTCGTCTCCGTTATAAAAGTCAGCTCGCCCAGCGCAATATTCCAATCAATGGTTTTGTTCATTGACTGCATCGTTTGGTTTCACTTTTTTCAACATACTCTAAACTTAACACATATGGGGGTTTTCTTAAAATAATGTTTGCACGTTTCTCGTCTCAACCCTGTAAGTTAGTCAGAACAGTGTGAAAACCTTTTTAATGACCGCTTGTCTCAATGTGACTTTTTTCGAGCTCGGATGGCTGGATCTCGAACGCGAAGGCATCACTTCGGGATTTCCTCCCTCATGAAACAGACACGCCGTGATATAACGGGAATATTGCCCCAGCCGGCGATAGACGTAAACTACTCACATACTGGTATGACGATCTGCCAATAAGCAGTTAAAAGCGGCCATGTTGTGTAAGGTTTACTGGGTGAGATGTACAGTGTAAGGGTCCCAGTTAGGTGAGAGTAAAGACATGTAACATCATAACACTAAGGCGGCATGAGGTGGTGTGCAGATACCGCCCAGTACCGTGTGAGGCGGTGTGTAGATACCGCCCAGTACCGTGTGAGGCGGTGTGCAGATACCGCCCAGTATTGTGAGGTGGTGTGCAGATACCGCCCAGTACCGTGTGAGGTGGTGTGCAGATACCGCCCAGTTCTCTGTGAGGCGGTGTGTAGATACCGCCCAGTTCTGTGTGAGGCGGTGTGCAGATACCGCCCGGTATTGTGTGAGGTGGTGTGCAGATACCGCCCAGTACCGTGTGAGGTGGTGTGCAGATACCGCCCAGTACCGTGTGAGGCGGTGTGCAGATACCGCCCAGTACCGTGTGAGGCGGTGTGTAGATACCGCCCGGTATTGTGTGAGGTGGTGTGCAGATACCGCCCAGTACCGTGTGAGGCGGTGTGCAGATACCGCCCAGTACCGTGAGGAGGTGGTGTGCAGATACCGCCCAGTATTGTGAGGCGGTGTGCAGATACCGCCCAGTACCGTGTGAGGTGGTGTGCAGATACCGCCCAGTACTCTGTGTGAGGGCGGTGTGTAGATACCGCCCAGTTTCGTGTGAGGTGGTGTGCGCAGATACCGCCCGGTATTGTGTGAGGTGGTGTGCAGATACCGCCCAGTACCACCGTGTGGTGAGGCGGTGTGTAGATACCGCCCAGTATTGTGTGAGGCGGTGTGCAGATACCGCCCAGTACCGTGTGATACCGTCCAGTGAGGTGGTGTGTGCAGATACCGCCCAGTACCGTGTGAGGCGGTGTGCAGATACCGCCCAGTACCGTGTGAGGTGGTGTTCAGATACCGCCCAGTATTGTGTGAGGCGGTGTGTAGACACCGCCCAGTACCGTGTGAGGTGTGTGCAGATACCGCCCAGTACCGTGTGAGGCGGTGTGCAGATACCGCCCAGTACCGTGTGAGGTGGTGTGCAGATACCGCCCAGTACCGTGTGAGGCGGTGTGCAGATACCGCCCAGTACCGTGTGAGGCGGTGTGCAGATACCGCCCAGTACCGTGTGAGGCGGTGCAGATACCGCCCAGTACCGTGTGAGGTGGTGTGCAGATACCGCCCAGTACCGTGTGAGGCGGTGTGCAGATACCGCCCAGTACCGTGGGTGGTGTGCAGATACCGTGTGAGGCGGTGTGCAGATACCGCCCAGTACCGTGTGAGGCGGTGTGCAGATACCGCCCAGTATTGTGTGAGGCGGTGTGCAGATACCGCCCAGTACCGTGTGAGGCGGTGTGCAGATACCGCCCAGTACCGTGTGAGGCGGTGTGCAGATACCGCCCAGTACCGTGTGAGGCGGTGTGCAGATACCGCCCAGTACTGTGTGAGGTGGTGTGCAGATACCGCCCAGTATTGTGTGAGGTGGTGTGCAGATACCGCCCAGTACCGTGTGAGGCGGTGTGTAGATACCGCCCAGTACCGTGGTGACCCAAATGGCTTTAGGGATCCGGTATCGTGGACGACCCAGGTTCATTACTGGTATAATATCATCCAGGCCTTATGTATGTCAGTCAGAAAAGTTCTTCCTTTCAGGCACTGATTTATGTGCACTGCACAGTTTCAGTGCGTCCTGTGACTAGTCAAACAGACAGGGATGACAGCAAGGCGCTTATGTGTTATTGAACCGTCTAGTAGCCATGAACCGTCTAGCATCCTTCAATGAATGCATCAACCTTCATACAATTTGGAAAATCAAATTGGCTCGGACCACACAAACCTCATAGCCTCGCCTAAATTGACACAATAAGTTAAAGTGAGCAGAAATAAATATAAAGTACTGAAACAAAAACATGCATATTTACAAGATGTTTTCAAATTTTACTCAACAGGATTACGAGCAAACTAAGGCAGTAAGAATTCATAACACACGGTCAACTGACCATATACCATTCTATGGGACGTCATGGAGCCTGTGACGTCACTGTCTTAACTCACACATGTCAGTACGAAATGAAATTTATCCTCGTTCATGAATGATCCAATTATGAGATAAAACATAGTTTGAACTGAAACTCGTCACCTATAACCTAGACGAGATACCTATAAGCTACAATGAAATCTGAGCGCGATCGCAATGATGTTTTGAATTTGATGAATTTGCTGGTATCGAAAAAAGTGTGTAAGCACCCACACTTACTATTTCCCATACCAATATCCCCTCAATACCTGTAGTAATCCATATGTACCCTGTATGTACCCTGTATGTACCTTCCTTGTACCCTCATTCTACCCTTGTCCCTGCAACCCAGGTCCACTACATTTGGGTGTTAGTGTATACATATTTCTCCGCGGACTGTTGACTCTGTGCCCGGTATTCGTCTCTCTTCGCCGGCGTCATGAACAACATTTCCACCTCCTCTAGCGTCTTCCCCTTCGTTTCTGGCACAAACACTAGCGTGAACAACATCCCCAGGAAGCAGATTCCACCGAACAGCCAGAACGTGCCTGAAATACATCCCATATCAGTGGTTAATAACATTGCATCCAAACCCTCCATCAGGTTCTCAGTAGTCACGGTGGTAATATATGACTATAGGGTATGCATGTGTAGCAGCCATAAAATGTGGGATTCGAACTAAGGACGTTCTCATCCAAAGTCGGACGCCTTGTCATATTCTCCACATAAATATAACATAATATTGTGTAAGGGTGTAAGAGGCAGTCCATGGATATAAAGTCAACTATATGCTTATAACTGTTTGTTTTTGTTCCTGCTACGAGGGGCGGAGGGGTAGCCTAGTGGTTAAAGCCTGCGCTCGTCACGCCGAAGACCCGGGTTCGATTCCCCACATGGGTGCAATGTGTGAAACCCATTTCTCGTGTCTCCCGCCGTCATATTGCTGGAATATTGCTAAAAACGGCGTAAAACTAAACTCACTCACTCACTGATGCTACGTATTTTAGTCGAAATGAGTATAACGAACAACGGTTATAACGAACTAGAATATGTGGTCCCCTTAGTTCGTTATATCCATAGTTCACTGCATAGAGATACTCCGTATTATCTGATGAATATACATGTTCGGTACGTACCAACTATATGGCTGAAATAATGCAGATGTGACGTAAAATGTTAACTCACTCACGTTCAATTAAGACTACTTCGCTTGTGCATGTGTGCGTGCGTGAAGCACTACCGCGTTATATCGTGTTTATGGTATGATGCGTCCACTTCCTACCGAGTCTTTTTAGTATGAGCAACTTAATGTTACCACTATCAGTGATGAGGGTTTAGATAGAGGCCACTGGCGGCTGTCAAGTTATAACGACATCAGTTTTGTCTTACCGTATTTTGTTATCGTTTCAGTGAGTGTGAGGAAGGTGAAGGACACTATGAGATTACAGATCCAGTTTACAGCTGTTGTCATGGCAATGCAGGTTCCACGTGCCCAGAGGGGAAATATTTCTGAATTTATGGTCCAAGGCATTGGTCCTAACCCTGGAGAAGAAGCGTTTACAAGCATGAATACCGATATGCAAAGTTGCAATTTATGTCTACACAATGACCACTGGCAGCAATATGTGACAACTAGGTTAATTAATTTTAGTCACTGTCCGAGTCCCTGTTGCAGAAAGTTGGAATAATGTTTACATCAATCGAAATGCCTTCTCCAAACACCTGAACGCAACACACTGACATTAGACCTTTACACAACGACTATTCAGAGCGCTTTGGCAAATAAATAATGCCACGAAAAAGAACCCTGACAAAACGCACTCACCTGGTGATAAAACACACTAATCTGGTGACAAAACGCACTCACCTGGTGATAAAACACACTAATCTGGTGACAAAACGCACTCACCTGGAGATAAAACACACTAATCTGGTGACAAAACGTACTCACCTGGTGATAAAACACATTAATCTGGTGACAAAACGCACTCACCTGGTGCAAATCCCATTAAAAAGAGCGTCAAACCGAGGATTGCCATCCAGGAATAGTCTGTGGGGCAGTAGCCGACGGCGTAGGTGAGGTCGCTGTTGGCTGTGTCATTACACCGACCGAACTCGGAATCTATTTCCTTCTGTTTGTCAATGTGAGACGGCGCAAGGCATGTGCCACCTGGCTCTTCTGAGTTTGTTTCAAAACAATAACCACACTTGTTGTTGTTGATACAGGCCTCACATAGACTGTGGACATAGAGAACAGAGGACATAGAGAACAGAGGTGATTAATACAGGCTGTCACATAGACTGTGGAGGCAGGCGTCATGGAGACATGATTAATACAGGCCTCACATAGACTGTGGAATAGAGAACAGAGGTGATTAATACAGGCATCACATAGACTGTGGAAATAGAGAACAGAGGTGATTAATACAGGCGTCATAGACTGTGGAAATAGAGAACAGAGGTGATTAATACAGGCATCATATAGACTGTGGAAATAGAGAACAGAGGATGAATACAGGCGTCATGGAGACTGACTAGAGAACAGAAGAGAATACAGATGGTGGAAATGAGAGAACAGAGGTGATTAATACAGGCATCACTGTGGACATAGAGAACAGAGGTGATTAATACAGGCCTCACATAGACTGTGGACATAGAGAACAGAGGTGATTAATACAGGCATCACATAGACTGTGGACATAGAGAACAGAGGTGATTAATACAGGCCTCACATAGACTGTGGACATAGAGAACAGAGGTGATTAATACAGGCCTCACATAGACTGTGGACATAGAGAACAGAGGTGATTAATACAGGCGTCACACATAGACTGTGGAAATAGAGAACAGAGGTGATTAATACAGGCGTCACATAGACTGTGGACATAGAGAACAGAGGTGATTAATACAGGCATCACATAGACTGTGGAAATAGAGAACAGAGGTGATTAATACAGGCATCATGGAGACATGGAGAGAACAGAGGTGATGGAATACAGGCGAGAACAGAGACTGTGGACATAGAGAACAGAGGTGATTAATACAGGCATCATGGAGACTGTGGAAATAGAGAACAGAGGTGATTAATACAGGCATCACATAGACTGTGGAAATAGAGAACAGAGGTGATTAATACAGGCATCACATAGACTGTGGAAATAGAGAACAGAGGTGATTAATACAGGCGTCACATAGACTGTGGAAATAGAGAACAGAGGTGATTAATACAGGCGTCACATAGACTGTGGAAATAGAGAACAGAGGTGATTAATACAGGCCTCACATAGACTGTGGACATAGAGAACAGAGGTGATTAATACAGGCCTCACATAGACTGTGGAAATAGAGAACAGAGGTGATTAATACAGGCGTCATGGAGACTGTGGAAATAGAGAACAGAGGTGATTAATACAGGCATCACATAGACTGTGGACATAGAGAACAGAGGTGATTAATACAGGCATCACATAGACTGTGGAAATAGAGAACAGAGGTGATTAATACAGGCCTCACATAGACTGTGGACATAGAGAACAGAGGTGATTAATACAGGCATCACATAGACTGTGGACATAGAGAACAGAGGTGATTAATACAGGCCTCACATAGACTGTGGAAATAGAGAACAGAGGTGATTAATACAGGCCTCACATAGACTGTGGAAATAGAGAACAGAGGTGATTAATACAGGCATCATGGAGAGAGAAGCAGACTACAGATGAAGGATGAAGAAGATGAAGCCCACTGACCTGTATGTGGCGCACTTGTCGTGTATAGCTGTTCCGTTGTCCATCAGTTCTGTTGTGTTTTTGTTGATGTGTGGGGTGTAGACCGCGGACAGCTGGAAGCCCACTGCCAGGACGACGAGGGCGATCGTCACAGCTGAAGCACCAACACAACACAAAGATAAATGACGCGTGTTTCAGGTTAAATGTCTTAACAGTGGGAGTGAGTGAGTGAGGTTTTACACCGCTTTCAGCAATATTCCAGCAATGTCACTGTGGGGCACACCAGAAATGAGCTTCAAGTATTGCAACCATGTGGGGAATCGAAACCGGGTGACGAGCGGACGCTTTAACCGCTATGCTACCCTTGTATAACCAATTTTCAGCGTATTCTTTATCATTTTACTTCCTGGTAATTATATTTACAAGTATATGTGTAAGTATGCGTGCGCACATATGTTGTATGTGTTTGGCGTATGTGTATATGTATTGCCATGTGTGATATATTCAGCATATGTATAGAGTAAACGTGTGGCTAATAATACGTGAGGCATTTCAGGATTGTGTCGGACATATTTTTCCTCCTTTGGCTTAGAAAACTGCTTCCTCTTTTGGGGAAGGAACAGAATCCTGAAGAATTAGCTCAGCGTCTCACCTACGAAACTGGCCACTGTGAGAATCTTCCTCCCAAGCCGCTCCACCAGCCAGATACCGAGGAACGTGGCAAGGAAGTTGACTGAGTTGGGCACCATCACCAGCCAGATGGCGTACTCTGTTGGGAACCCTGCCATCTTGATGATGGAGCCGCTGTAGTAGCTGCAACCACATGGAATACGGTAGTTACACATCTCTAGCATGTAGGTGGGTTCACTGAAATACTGCGTAATGGAAAACAGGTTATATGCCATGACCCATCGTTACATCTCTAGCATGTAGGTGCGTTCACTGAAATACTGCGTAATGGAAAACAGGTTATATGCTATTACCCATCGTTACATCTCTAGCATGTAGGTGGGTTCACTGAAATACTGCGTAATGGAAAACAGGTTATATGCCATGACCCATCGTTACATCTCTAGCATGTAGGTGCGTTCACTGAAATACTGCGTAATGGAAAACAGGTTATATGCTATTACCCATCGTTACATCTCTAGCATGTAGGTGGTTCACTGGAAATACTGCGTAATGGAAAACAGGTTATATGCTATTACCCATCGTTACATCTCTAGCATGTAGGTGGGTTCACTGAAAATACTGCGTAATGGAAAACAGGTTATAATGCTATACCCATGCTCTCTAGCATAGGTGGGTTCCAAATCGCGTAATGGACAAACAGGTTATATGCTCCCTCGGTAGTTACATCTCTAGCATGTAGGTGGGTTCACTGAAATACTGCGTAATGGAAAACAGGTTATATGCTATGACCCATCGTTACATCTCTAGCATGTAGGTGCGTTCACTGAAATACTGCGTAATGGAAAACAGGTTATATGCTATGACCCATCGTTACATCTCTAGCATGTAGGTGCGTTCACTGAAATACTGCGTAATGGAAAACAGGTTATATGCTACTACCCGTCGTTACATCTCTAGCATGAAGGTGGGTTCACTGAAATACTGCGTAATGGAAAACAGGTTATATGCTATTACCCATCGTTACATCTCTAGCATGTAGGTGGGTTCACTGAAATACTGCGTAATGGAAAACAGGTTATATGCTATTACCCATCGTTACATCTCTAGCATGTAGGTGGGTTCACTGAAATACTGCGTAATGGAAAACAGGTTATATGCTATTACCCATCGTTACATCTCTAGCATGTAGGTGGGTTCACTGAAATACTGCGTAATGGAAAACAGGTTATATGCTATTACCCATCGTTACATCTCTAGCATGTAGGTGGGTTCACTGAAATACTGCGTAATGGAAAAAAGGTTATATGCTATTACCCATCGTTACATCTCTAGCATGTAGGTGGGTTCACTGAATTACTGCTTAATGGAAAACAGGTTATATGCTATTACCCATCGTTACATCTCTAGCATGTAGGTGGGTTCACTGAATTACTGCGTAATGGAAAACAGGTTATATGCTATTACCCATCGTTACATCTCTAGCATGTAGGTGCGTTCACTGAATTACTGCTTAATGGAAAACAGGTTATATGCTATTACCCATCGTTACATCTCTAGCATGTAGGTGGGTTCACTGAATTACTGCTTAATGAAAAACAGGTTATATGCTATTACCCATCGTTACATCTCTAGCATGTAGGTGGGTTCACTCAATTACTGCTTAATGAAAAACAGGTTATATGCTATTACCCATCGTTACATCTCTAGCATGTAGGTGGGTTCACTGAAATACTGCTTAATGGAAAACAGGTTATATACTATTACCCATCGTTACATCTCTAGCATGTAGGTGGGTTCACTGAATTACTGCGTAATGGAAAACAGGTTATATGCTATTACCCATCGTTACATCTCTAGCATGTAGGTGCGTTCACTGAATTACTGCGTAATGGAAAACAGGTTATATGCTATTACCCATCGTTACATCTCTAGCATGTAGGTGCGTTCACTGAATTACTGCTTAATGGAAAACAGGTTATATACTATTACCCATCGTTACATCTCTAGCATGTAGGTGGGTTCACTGAATTACTGCTTAATGAAAAACAGGTTATATGCTATTACCCATCGTTACATCTCTAGCATGTAGGTGGGTTCACTGAAATACTGCGTAATGGAAAACAGGTTATATGCTATTACCCATCGTTACATCTCTAGCATGTAGGTGGGTTCACTGAAATACTGCGTAATGGAAAACAGGTTATATGCTATTACCCATAGTTACATCTCTAGCATGTAGGTGGGTTCACTGAATTACTGCGTAATGGAAAACAGGTTATATGCTATTACCCATAGTTACATCTCTAGCATGTAGGTGCGTTCATTAAAATACTGCGTAATGGAAAACGGGTTATATGCCATTGTACATGTTACAGCTCTTTGGTGTCAGTGTTTTCCTGGAGCAGGCACAATGGTGTAGATATGAGGTATATACATGTAAATGTCAATTGTTTTCTCTCTACCGTTGCTTAACTGTGCTTACATTCTGCAGAAATATCACTGGACACACCACCTACTTCTTTCCATATGGTAGATGATGATGATGGAATCATGGCATTGCGAACAACCTCTTTGTAATCCTATTCACGTCAGTATCCAGGGCTGTTTTTCTACTCACATGACCGTGTTGATGCCACAAAGCTGCTGGAAGAGTTGTAGTCCGCTGCCAATGAACAACGCCTTCCGCACGTGGGGGGTGGTGAAGATCCGACGCAGCGCGTTACCTGCCATGATAAGAGCCGTAACGGTTCATTTCCCAGTCCTGAACTCTAGGAGAGTTGGTACTGCTCGGTTACCTATCCTCTTACCGAAGTCTGTACTGTTTATCCTGCCCATCCTTACTGTTCATCTTGAGAGCCCTACTGTTCGTCTACCTATCTACCTATCCACTTATAGACTACAAGGACCGAGTGTGGATAAAAGTAATGCAAGAGGCATGTTTTAGTAGAATTTGGTATCCAGGCTATGTTACCTATTTAAAGGGTGCTGATCACGAAACAATAGGATACCAAGCTGAAAAAAGTGTTTTTGACGCTCAAAAGTGAAAAACAAAATGGCCGCCCAAATCGCCTAAAATAGTGGTAGGTGTGCACAGTATTTTCGCCTGTGACTGTATCTCTATTTTGTAAACTTTGGAAACTTGATCTCTACAGAAGAGTTCTCCCTGTTCTCTACCCTATCCCCCAGCCTCTAGTTTCTACCCTTACCTCCAGGAGAGTTCCTCCTGTCAGTGTCGATGTTGTCCTGAATCTCCTGCAGTTCTGTGTGAACGTTGACTGTGCCCCGGATCTTCTGTAGCACGGCCCTCGCATCGTCCAACCGGCCCTTGTCCACCAGCCAACGGGGAGATTCGGGGAGGAAAAAGAACCCAACGAACTGGATCACCCCCGGCAGTCCGGCCAGGCCAAGCATATAGCTGTGGACCAGTGTATAATGAATGAAAACAAAAGGAAAAACAAGTCCAGAGCAGTCCGATTCCATTGTGAGCACTGGATTTCTAATCACAGTACAGGGATGACACCAGGTGTCCAGACAAGAAACGTGTCTACAGCTACACTTATTTAACAATATAATCAGAATGGAATTTTAGATTATATTAGTCGCAGATACGGGGTATTACGTTTAAATATTTCCGACATTTAGATTGTTGATCTGCTAATTTGTTTATTTACATGACGCCGACCTCAGCAATATTCCCTCTATGACGGCGGCCTGACCAAACAATCCAGTGGTTAGTATAGTGAACAATTACTTATGTTGTTGGTATCCTAAGATACACACGCATGCAAGTGACCATTTTGGTCCTCTCTTAAGACCAACAGAGGTTGCTGAGAGCCAAAGCGGCCCCCGAATCCCCCGAATCAACCGCATTTACAAATCATGCTGGACGTACCGCCAACCCTCTGGTTTGAGGAGGCTGAATGCGCCCGCGATGAGGCTGGAGACGACGATGCCGATGGTGATGAAGAGCTGGTTCAGGGTGACAAGACGTCCCCGGATGTCTGAAGGAGCAGCCTCGGCGACATACACCGGCACCGTCATGGACGCAAACCCTGAAAACAAACACTATTAATGCAACTCACTTGCTACTCTGTATGGCTGATGTCATCAACTACAGGCCCTGTATCTATATGACCAGCTGCCATTGCTACGTCTCATCGTTTCAGTGAGCTTGCATATCTGTTTTGTTGTGGCAGCATGTGTAGTTCTCTCTCTGTCAGAAGCCTTTACATCTGCATCTGTTTTATTAAGTCACGAGGTAGACATCATTATCGTATAAACGAACAGCTGGTTTGGACCCGTTCTGACAAGACCTGCTAGACCTGGAACCCGCAGTGTAGAAAGCCCTGTACTGATGACACTGTGCAACCTGTACTGTACATGCCACACCCTGTATCTGACTCTTTAATCAGTACAAGGTGGTCATATCTGACGCTATAATCAGTACAATGTGGTCACATCTGACGCTGCAATTAGTCCACTGTGGTCACATCTGACGCTACAATCAGTACCAGATGGTCACATCTGACGCTACAATCAGTTCAATGTGGTCACATCTGACGCTACAATCAGTACGAGGTAGTCACATCTGACTCTACATTCGGTCCAGGGTGGTCACATCTAACTCTACAATCAATACGAGGCAGTCACGTCTGACACCGCAGTAACTTTGATGGTTGCAATTAGAAACATGTGAAGATAATTGAAACGAAATACGAAGAAAACAAAACATTGACAACTGATAACATGGGCCCCAGTTATGCGGCTGCCCCCGCTATGCAATAGTCATTAATCATGCCTGCAGTGCTTTCTTTCGCTGTTTGGCATTTCTGTTGTGACAGACAGCTGGCCCCAAATAGCAGGCGCTGCAGAATACATTGCTCAGATAGAGTGCACATTCGGACAGGGAATGAATGTATTATATCTAATATTGCATCCACAGTAGTTGGGAAGACAGGCCTGGTATGGTTGCCTATCAATATTTACACCGTGGCCTTGTCTACAAACGTCTTGTATTATACAATGACAACGTCATCGGCGTTCGGCGTTTATGTGGATTGTAGTGTCTTAATGCCACGGCATGATATTATCGTCATTGGGAATTGATTCCCATACGTCTCATCGCACTTTGCTGTAACGAGGGACCCTCAAGGAAGACATGAGTGGATTAAACGCAGGCTAGTGCTGCCATGTTTCAAGCCAAAGAAGTATTTAAGGTGTAACATGAGTCAACAAACAAGGACAAAACCTTCAGAAGACACGCCAAGACAAGGAACTACATGTCTGGAAACAATCGTTAAGGTGACGATTTGATCGGGTCCGGCAGTAGAATTAACACATCATTGTCATTCGAAAAGAACATAATGTGAATTTTAAACCAAAGACCTGAGGGCTAGGATTCCTCTTACAAGATAATGCCAGGCGCTTGCTTCATGATGAAATACCTTCGCTAATGCTGTGGAAAAAAACCACCAGGTGCTCGCCAGTGATGAACATGGTTAACATCCATTCCAACGTCTATGCCCTTTGTTGTGCTAGTGCCGCTGTCAGCAATTCCCTATCAATAAGGAATCGAGTTTGGTGAGTGAGTGAGTATGGCTGAACGCCGCTTTTAGCAATATCCCAGCAATATCACGACTGGGGACACCAGAAATGGGCTTCACACACTGTACCCATGTGGGGATTCGAACCCGGGTTTTCGGCGTGACGAGCCAACGCTTTAACCAATAGGCTGCCCCACCGCCCCAAATCGAGTTTGGACCAGACAATCCAACGACTGACATCATGGGTATCGATCTGAGGCACTGCGATACAACAACATGCATCATCCGGGCGAAATCGACTACCCGACCCCGTAAGTTGCCTTTTGGCTGCTGAAGGCCAATTCTAACCCAGATCACGAGTAGCAAGTCCTGTCCTTCCTTTGACTTCAGCCTTTGACATCATTCTTCAGAGGTGTCATGCATTGCAGATCTGAAGGAACCCTCCAAGGGTCTGCACCGAACTGGGTGAAGTCCTGTCTGCAGCCTGCACACATTGATGAGCAATAAATGGAGTAGTTCCTGTGTCGTGCCGAGACATTGGGGTATGGCTGTTTCGCAACAAGCTAGGCTTTATGGCGAGAAGAGACAGAAGTTGCAATATCCATGTCCTTCAGTTTAAAGGAAGACGTTTCTGTTGAAGCAGTGTAACATCGGCTAAATTAGACCCTGTTGAATAAAAGACGCCACCACAATACTTCCTCCTCTCCGGGATTGATTATGACAACACCCTTCGAATAATCTAGTCAACGTACTACAATCCACCCAGGACAAAGCTGCATGGTTTGTTTCTCTCTTCCCTAAACTATAGCACATCATTGCGATTAGTAAAGAACGCCAGTGGCTTCCAAACAAAGGTCACATTATTGTTTCTATTTTGCCTATTATTTCCATTGTCAAACAGCGCTACCATTTGTCCTTCGTCAGCTCGGCAGTTCAACCAGATATCTCCATTCAGGATAACATCTCCTGCCTCCACGAAGCCATTCCCTTGAAGTCCACTTTAAGTATCAAGTGATGTCACGGCCAGAGTTGATCAACATCACTGAATGGAAGTTTCCAGAAAGGTTTACTGGTATGGTAGTTGGGGTTTAAGGCGAGTTGGATCTTTAAAGATCTATTTGCGCCCAACACATCAAGTGACTTTAAAGAAGCTTCATGATATAAGGTATATTGTAGAAGCGTGAGTAACTATACTACCCATCAAAAGTTTCGACTCACTAAAACATTCACTATATGTTATGTATGAAGATGAATTTCTCCACTAACTTGGGGAAAAAAACTGCAAACCTTATGCAGATTAATTGCACGAGGATAATGCATCAAACTGCTGAAAAGTATATGCAAATATCGTCCACGTGAACAGCTGCGTTTTGGTGTAAAGTTAATTCGCCATTTTAAACCGAGTTTCATCAATTATTGAACGCATGACAATAATCTTTTCAACGCTATGAATTTGTTTTACAATACATCGGTTCATGCATAAACAGCGCCTTTAAACAGCATGGAATATTTTGCAAAATTTAGTTTAGAACAGTTGCCTGAAGTAAGTGGCTACATGTACACTAGTGAGTCTAAACTTTTGATGGGGAGTACACTATTTCACTTCTGAAACGTAAGAACTCATTCAATGCAAAATAAGATCAGAAAAAAGAAAGAGAAACCATTAAAATGGTTTAATGGCCATGTACTCATCAATTTTTCATTACATAGCAAAGTTTCCCGATGCAGACACGAAGACTATTATTGACCACTGAACTGAACCATAAAATATGTTTGGGGTCAAAAGTGTAATTAGAAAAATGAGCTCTCCTTCTCAAGTTCTGCACTTCTTAAATTTAATCTGATATGCTTGTGGACTGGGTATTCAATGAGACCATGTTTCACTGTCTCGAGACTACTTTCATCACAGTGTGCGCACATACACAACGGGTTTGTACTAGGATCGGGTTATCTGTCGGTGGTTGGCATAACTTGGTCGTTCAAGAGGTCCCAGGCTGAGACAATTCCTTATAGGCAGTCAGTAACCATATACGAGAGACATGAGTGTGATTCAAGGCCTGTTTGGAAACAACAGATTCACAGAATTCCTTCCAGCTGCCATTACTATTCTGGATATGTGAAAGAGAGACAGAGTTTAAATAAACCGTATTGATTTCCTATTGATCTCATTGTCATTTGCTGTTTTCACAATTTACTCCATATAATTTAGTCATCGGAGTTTCGATTTTGAATTACCTTGTAAAGTTGCTTAACAGCCTAACATATAATGTTAATTAATAACCTTTTCTGTGGACTTGCTTATAATTCCTATTCCGTTTGGTTTACCAATTGCTGGAACCTCAGTTAAGACATGCCTTCATAGTAGCAATGAAGCAAATGTACGATTACCAGGTGCTACCAGGACGCTGTTCAGGAAGTATAGTTGGACACTGATAAATGATGACACATTGAAGTGCAGTATAATCAACATCTCAGAGCTACGTTCTCATTCTTGAGAGGAAAAGAGGATTTGATAAAGTACAGGCAGTGTGGCCAGCTGGTATCGATAGTACGTATCACATGGTACCTTAGTGACACACCGTTAGCATTACACCGCTTTTTCTGAATTGGGTCATTCTCTAAGGTTTCGATTTATTTCTACTCGATCACAGTCATAAGCCTTGGCAAGAGGCGTCTAACAATTGGTACCATAAATAGTTCCTTTAATGAACATATCCTTTACCATATTTCCATTAGTATTTTCGTGTAAAGGATTTGTTTGTTTACATACGTTGTCCTTTCTGTTTGTTTCTGGGTTTGGATCAACCATGGACGTACATAGCAACGTATGCTGCAGCGTCAGTGACAATAGTTTCTATTGAGCATGTCATTTTCCAATGAAAATTAACTGATTTAACCACGTGACCAAATCAAAAGATCACGCCTCTAACGATCACATGACTGTTGCATCATGGGAATACATATATTGTTTAAAATGTTTCATACACGTATTTAAGAATTACAAGAACATCAAAAATACGGATATAATATTGTTTCACACCGACAGTTTGCTACTGTGACAGGTATATATACAATTCCTTCCTATCACAACAGCCAGACTGTTTGAACATGATAAAGCATTTTGAACTGACATTATTGTCCATAACTAATGACTCTTATCCCTGGCGGTATCGGCAAATGGAAACGTTCAGTAGTCAATTGCTACCGATCAGGTGAGGCTCATCTGATATACACAGTCGTAATGACTAATGGGAGATAAGAATCGTGTAGGTGTTTACACTGCAGGGAGTGCTCATACAACTGGTGTGTGTCTGTGAGCACCGCTTGACCTACACGTCACATCCTGATAACCAGGGGAATACTTTGTAACAATATATAATTTACTCCTTGATAGTACATCATGAAAAGCTTCATAACAGACGATGTACTGTTAGAATATCACATACTGCTTGATAGTAGACCACGTGATCCTTGATAGTAGACTAAGTACTGTTTTATTGCTTAATAGT